ACACACACACACACACACACACACACACACACACACACACACACACACACACACACACACACACACACACACACATATATATATATATATATATATATATATGAATCTTTAATGTTATAAATGGAAACATGTATTTTTTAATATTTATTTTTTAAGGCTTCCACGATTACTTTCTTAAAAGATATTAATATTTTTTGTAGTATTATCCGTATGTCGTAATACATTGTAAATCAATTGAAAATGATCCTCTTTCCTCTTTTACCAATCTTAACTTTTCCTCTTCATTTTGCCTCCTTCTTCCCTCCCTCTCTTCTGTATAGTGTACATATAAGGAAACTCCAATAAAAAAACGACGCATTATTGCGCCTGGCTCTGGATGAAGTAAAATGAAATGTTCACGAAACGTTGTATCATGACAAAAACAATAAAAAAAAGAAAATGTATTAATCTTTTTGACATAATTTTTTTGGTATTATATTGATTTCTTTCATCATTCTCATAATATTTCTGTATAAAAGAATTAAAATAAGATTATAAAAAATTTCCTTACATAAACTTGCGACATTTCTGAAGATTTTCCATTATTATTACTTATAATATTATTTTCATTATTGCAATTTATATCTGTTTTCCCTAATATTTCAAATTCTGAACTTGACTTTATTTGATGTAAATAGAAATTTAAAGAATGATTATCCTCATCATCATTATCAATATATTTTTGTCTTTGATGCTGTTATAATTAAACTTATTATTAAGATTATCATCTCCATTATTATCATTCCATTGATTATTAATATAGCAATATTATCTTGCATTATAGATGTTCCATATTCCAAGTCTGATTCTGATTCATAAATGCTACAGCTTGCAGAACTATTTTTACATGATCTAATCTAAATCCTGATTTTAATGTATTAAATACATTCAAAATTTTAGGTTACTTTATATAATAGGAAGAATATTTAAAAAATATATATTTCTTACATATGTTTCTACATTATTGTGTGAGAGTATACCATGCAATATACTACTGTGATAAAATATAAACGAGATTTTTAAATTTAAACTGCCCAAATAAGAAGGGAGAGTGTGCGTCACGGCGGGGCCCGACCACGAACCAGTCATGAAAACTCGTAATTATTTTGCGAAAAAATACCACCTCATCCAGGAATCGAACCTGGATCTCCTGCTTACCGGGCAGGCATCTTATCCTTTCGACTACCGAGGCATGTGATGATATTTATCGCAAATAACGTGTTTAGAATAACACGTCAACAATACAATAATACACACACATTATATATATAATATATA